TTATCGAATTAAATTCTTTTCTCATTGAATTAAACTCGAATCATTCTCGAAATCGATGTGATTAAAAGTTATCAATAAAATTTTTTTATCGATATGAGCCTAATAGTGTGTTGCAATCATCACGATGATGATTGTGAAAGATGATAGTGACAACCTCCGATAAAGGCATGAGTAACGATGAAGATATGATCGAAGAGTAAAACGACAACCTGCCTGTAATTTCATTTTTCAGTGGATTGATATAAACTTTGACGATATGCCCGTGATTTGTGATTTATTAGAGTGATAAAAAAAGATACGCCGAATGTCTTTGCTTCAGAATTCTTATCTTATCTCAATTTGACTTCTGGTGCCTTTATTGTATCTTTGTGTCTTTAGCGTTCTATAACTTGCGATGTTAAATATGATAATATCAGAATTTAAATCACTGATTATTTACGAAAGCCACATGCTCATCTCGATATATATGTACATATAAAAATACAATTGAAAAATAAAAAAAATTTAATCTTGAATATTTAATATATCATACGAGATTATTAATATTTGTATAAAAACATATATGTATATATTCATAAGCTGCTACGAACTTTTCTTTATACAAGATATTAATTTTCATATAAACTATGTACAATTCCTTTTGTAAAATATATAAGTAGAAAAAAGAAAAATATTATATATAGAAATCGATTAAAAATATGGAAAATTTAATAAGTATACTTTTATTTTAGACTATCTAAAAATTCGTCTTTCTCTGAATAAAAGCTTTCAAAAATAATAATATACACATTGTATATATACAGATAATATACAAAAGATATAGAGTTGGTTTTTAGATAAAAAAGATAAATATATAAGGCGCATTCTTATCGCTACGACGTCGTGCAGGATATAAATAAAAAAAAAAAAAATGTAATCTGCTCGTGCACATCCATCACAACTCGAATCTATAGAATTTAATAATTTGAATAACAGCTATTACAAATATAAGCGCACGTGTCAGTAAAGCGTGACTTACCGCTTTTTGTTGATTTAAGCAAAGATTAAATATCACCATTCAAGAACTATACGATCGTCTTATCACGTTTCCGTGAATGGCGGCGGAGTTATCATTCGTCGCGAGGAGAAGCTCGTTAAATAAATTAATATTCTTTATATTTCCGTAGTTTGAAAATTACATAAATAGAGGTTTATAAGGTTGTATAAAAAAAATTAATAAATATATATAATCCAAATGCAGAGAGATATATACGAAAGGAGGAAACTCGGATAGAAAATGCATCTTACCTCAGATGGGCAATATATCCAAAGCTACACTGCAAACACATGTATAAATGGCATAATATTCACAAGAAGGAGTGGATTAGTAAAAACAAACCTTGATCACAACAACGTTCGACATGTAAGAAACATTGATTAGTGAACATTAATTAGTTACAGATACATTCTCGGAAGAACATCCGTCGCGAATGTCAATGAATCCGAGATGCTTTCCGCATCGTTGCTTATAAGCATATAAAATTTATATATCAAGTCAGAGAGATAAACTCAAAACAGGAGAGCTTATCATCACAATAGCGTCAAAAAAAAAGAACTTATCAGACTTGCTCGTTAAAGCTGCGATGTGTTTCGATCGCACGATCAGTGTATCGAGTATCGACGATAATTAAGTGCAACATCTCGTGTCGTAATAATTATCGGGAAAGTGATCATTATTTGTTAAGCTGTCTCGTGCGTAATGTCCGCGATGGTATGCGATCGTTCGTTCTTCGACACCCGATAAGCGCGACGCGAAATATAAGATTGGAGCAATTCGATACGATGGAAATCGATTTCGCGTCGAGAATCACGGTAGACTAAGCATCCGTCTCTTATTTCGAGTTATCGCGTTTACGATCGTTTAAAGATCGAAAAAAGATTTTTAGAAGCGAATGCATTGCCAGATACGTCGTTTGATAACGCATCGCGATCAAAGTCACTTGGCGGCAAAAAAATTTTTCTCCCTCTTCTCATTATTATTATTATTATTATCATTATCGTCGCTACCGTTATCATTCCTCACATTGATTGATCGTTATACGGACACAGGTGTAGAGTTTGCTTAATAGAAAAATGCGCGGGTCAGACTTACTGAAAATCCTCGATAACCAGTTCTGAAAGGAACTGCAACAATCGATGTAATCGATAATGTCGTCAAAATCCGGCAGTAGCACGGCATTTTGATCCTTCCCGCGCTTTCTCGAATCATCATCGATACGGGGTTGATGGTAGGGATGGATCTCCGATCGATCCGGACACTCCAGATTCGGGCTCTCTGTCGGGTCCTCTTCGATGGCGCTCGTTAGCAAGGAAGCATCAGCTGAGTCTCCTGCCATACCGACGGCACTGAAATCAGACGGTTCAGCGATGGTTACAACGAAATTACGAAAGCGAATCTACGAGCGGATAACGATAACCGCGTGTGTTTTTGATAATCGCTACGCTAATCGATGTATTTAATTTTCTCTCGCATTGAAAATGTCGACAGAACGTGTGATAAGTTGATAAATTAAGCATAAATCTTAACAAATTAAGCTGAATGTCACAATACGTCGAGATAATACACAAAGTAGTGATGAATAAATAATCGGAAATTTATCGCTTTTATTACGTAAAACTGCTGAAGAGATTCCGACATATATATTCTCGGTATTTTGATGAAGCTTAAATGAGTTGATGAATACATCAATGAGAGATATCATACGTCAAAACATTGACAAAAGCATGAAAATTTCATAGACTGTTCTACTATTTCTTCTGAGTATCTGTGCAAAACCTGAGCACAATTCTCTTAACGGTTTGGAAATTATTTAAGTTTAAAGTTAGTATTGATTCTTATGGAAAATCCAAACGTTCACTTATATTCCTTCATGCATTTCCGAGTGGAGAGGTATCCTATTTTGCACGTACACACCGCAAAACCCTTATATTAAGCAAATATATAATTATTATGGCCGGTATGCCAGGACGGTCCGGCATCCTCTTAACGGTTTGGAAATTATTTAAGTTTAAAGTTAGAATTAATTCTTATGGAAAATCGCCTAGTATTTATTGATAAATTTGACAAGGAAGAAACATTGCCAACGATAATAAAACTTTCACATATATTTAAAAAACTCTAATAAATATTTGTGCAAAGTTTTTCTTTGTCTCTTGTAATTAATTTCAGGAGGTATTCACGATTAAAAGTTTCTGTCATAAATTAGGAAAAATATTTTCTTTTACGAAGACGTTAAAATATTATTTTGTGATATTTTAATTCTTTTTATATTTCGGATTTATTTATTTGATTTTTGAAACAGTATAAACATAAGAAATGTTTTTGTGTTTTTTTTTTATTTTGGCAGTTTTTTGTTACTATTGTACAGCCAAAACATCCTTAACATAATTCTACGAAGTAAGATGATGAACGGACATCTCGTTGCGCGTTATCATCTATCGCATTTAACGCGCGATAACCCAGATTGCGGCATGTACAAAGCGGGTTATTGCGTCGCGCAAAAAATTATCCTTATCGCTGATATTACGGAACCCGCGCGCGAAGATAAATATCGCGCGATAAACTCCGACCCCGACGGACAACGACGATGACGGTTTTACTATCGACGCGTAATCAATCGACGGGCTCCCCCGGTTATCGGTTCACGGTACGCATTTACGGGTACAAGAGCATCTCCAGAGAAGCCGGCGGCTCCGAGCACTGTTTTATCAAAGGCGGCGAAAACCGCGCGCGCGGTCGCGGTAGCTGCAGTTGCCGCCGCGGACAAGGACGTTCGCCAAGACGAAGACGCCCCCGCTTGTTCTCAAAGGAGTGGACCCACCGCGGGCTCCTGACAAAGGGCAGCACGGGTTTTCGTCATCCGCACGACGACGACGACGAGTCGGGAAAGGAGGTATCGATCCGACCGTGCCGGGCTCAATAATTCCAGCAAGGGTCCCTCTCTTGGTCCTTTAACGCGAGAATGCAATTTGTTAGCTCCTGCGCGATGCACAGAGTGCCCACCGCTTTTCTCTTCCTTAGGGTGCCTTTACATGGCAGCGTCAAGCGTCAAGCGTCGAGCGTTAAGCGTCTGCGCAGAATATTGTTGCCCAGAATTATATTTCATTTATTTTATTATATAACGGATGTGTGTGTGTGTGTGTGTGTTATTATTAATCAAAGATATATTATGAAACGTTACTACTCTGGCAATGTAAATTAAAATTAAATTAAAATACAAATGCGGCAAAAGATTTTGGATGGTTGAAATATTCAAATAAATAAGACACAAAAAGGGATTCACAAATGACAAAACGACACAGTTTGAAAAACTATTGTTAAAAGTAGGAAATGATTTAAAGGAGCAGTATGTTATAAACATGCAGGAAAAAAAATGAAAATTATATCCCATAATCCTTCCCATACAGCACAGAACGTTGCAGCAACATTGCAACATTGTAGTAACATTGCGGCAATGTTATAATGTTGCTGCAATGTTGCTACAACGTTCTGTGCTGTATGGGTTGATTAGATTTTAATATTTTGCTGGGGGATAGTAACGTTTTATACATATTTTGTTTAATAATAATAATATCTATTGTGTATAATGTAAATAAATATCAATTTTCAGTATTAGTAATGTGTATCAGAACATAATTTTTTTATCTCGACCGAATTCATATTACTCATCATGCTATTAGCCGCAAGAAGCTGGAATCTATCTCATTTAGATTCCTGCGCAATGATTTCTGCGCAGACGCTCGATGCTCGATGCTGCCATGTAATGGCACCTTTATATCTGTCGTTCACACACGAACGCGACGATTCGATCTCTCTTTTGGGCTCTCTGTCCTCCTCCTCTTTAAGAGCCTTGATCCTATCGTTAATTCTGGAGATAAGCGCGAAGATGAGATCGACTTTTGGCACCGCTGATGCTCCGACTATAAAGATTAGATTCGATAGTGACATATTGATGTCGATTATTAACCGTATCGCGTACATAGAAATGTGAGATTATTTTTCACGAGCAAGCAACAGATGCTACGGCGAAAAAATTATTCAACGTATAAAATTAATCACGTATTGAATTTTTCGTACTTGAAAGAGAACCGTTTCACTTTAGCGGAATATTTAAGGATCTGTGAACTCGATATTTGCGATCAGCTGTGCCAGGAATCGTAAATATTCGCCTGCGCTAACTTTACGGCTATTATCGCCGCTCTCGTTGGAAACCTATCCTTCCTTGAAATATTATTCGTACCGATAGAGAGAGAGAGAGAGAGAGAGAGAGAGAGAGAGAGAGAGAGAAAGAGACAAAAACTCGTGTCGCTCGCATCGATCGACTCTCCTGTGATTAAATAAATCCGATATCAATAATGATACGGTGGTGATAATGGGACGATTTCACGACTCGTTGCATGTAAGTCGCGCCTCCGAACAAACGCGGGACTTCACAATTTTTTAATCCACGGTTGAAATATCTAGAAATACACGCCCCAGAAATTTCTCCGATATATAACTGGTCCTACATTTTACTACCGTACAATAGCTGACAATTTTGACTTATACGTTTAATCGATTTGACTCTTCATCTGAAGCTACGAAAACCGAGAATTCACTTTACATGTACGCGACGAACATGGTGTTATCGTTCTTTCAGGCGTTAAGGAACGATGATATTAACGATAATACCTACGATAATATCTAACGAACTTGTCGTCCGATCGTATGGGCCATCATGGTCCGAACGAGGGCGAGATATCAGAAAGGACAAGTGGTCGTAATACAAGGGGAGAAACGAGTTTCATACTAGCCAGAAGTTTCCCCGAGATTGCCAGTTACAAGAATAGTACCTCCGGTTTATCCTAGCGCCATCCCCCTCCGAAAACCGATATCTCGTCCGGAGCAAAGTTCGAATAAGTTGGTGGAAACGCAGGAAACGCAGAGGAAAAAGTTGATACCGCGAAATCGATATGGATGCTGCTTGTTTTCTCGAAACAGGTGTCACCAATTTCGCGATGAATAAAATCGATTACCTATACTTGTATTCATCTTAATCTTTCATTACTGTTTCGTGCCATTTTTTATCGCAATTTTTTTTATAACATGTATATATATAAAATAAAATCGCATATAATATGTATATATATATAAAATAAAATCGATTATCTATACTTGTATCCATNNNNTATATATATATATAGTTATAAAATTTTTTGTTATATACATCATCTGTGAATTTTTTGCGAATGCAACATGTCAATTAGTTGTTATTGAATTGGCGGAGCGAGTTTATATTTCGCTGTTATTACGCCACCTGTCAAAACTTTAATTTCCGTAAGAGCGTTGTCTCTTCCATGCTGCGGCGTTTACGTACGTTGACACGAGCTCGCTTGACGCCCAACGACGTTGAGGGACGTGTACGCCTTCGGCCTTTTCCCGCCTTTTATTTCAACGACAAAAAAGAACGATAGCATTATTTGTGCGCGTCGACGCGATATCGGGGGGCTCGCAAAAATTTCCTACAATAATTCGTATTTTTCGGTAAATCGTAGACAAAGATTCGATTGTCACGATAATCAATCGTCATAAATGTGACGATATAAAACACAAAATACGTCTCTCTTTTTAATCTTTTCAAATCCAAATCGCTATTTTCCTAAAAAGAGATTTGTATTTTTTGTTACAAGACAAATAAAGAATTGTTGAAAATTTCTCGCACGTATAGAATTCTGAATTTTGAAATGTTTATTTATTGTATAAATTACTTTCGGAACGAATCGTATATATAACAGTAGTAATAAAATACTTCGAACAAATGAAGAGAAGATCGAAAAAGTCTCGGACAACCTGTTCGAGTTTTCGTTTAGTGCTCGGACGAATAGGGCTGGTCCGAAGTTAAAACTGGCCGAAAGTTTTCTTCGGGATGACTCGGACAGGGAGAGGACAAAGAAGGAGAAGGAGAGAGAAAAGTAGCACTCTCTCGACTTTACGCGGTAACGCCGATCCGGGAGCCAAGAGTTACGCGAAACGGATAGTTCAGCGAGATATGTACCCCGCATCGTTTATCGACATTTACCGGCGAAAGAGAAGGTAAATTACGCGCGGGCGTATTTCTCGTTCGTTACACGAGCGCGGTAAAATTACGACAATATTTTGCTTTCGAGTACGGTGTTTGCGTTCAACAATCCATTGAGCGCTCGATAATGGATGCAGGCATATATTTTTTATTGAAAATTGCAACCAAAATATTTTCCAGCGAAATCCAATCTTATCGATATCATTTTGTAATTGTGATTACCGAGTTTAATCAGTTTTGCGAAGGGATAATAATAAAAAAAAAAAAAAATGATAAGAAACGTGAAGG